TTGCATCCCGGCCGGTTTAATTGTACAATAGTAGAATCAAGACTGGCCGGTTTTCAATCACAACATTGCATTCCGGCCGGTTTGATTTTACAACAGTAGAATCAAGACTGGCTGGTTTTCAATTCCAACATTGCATCCCGGCCGGTTTAATTCTACAACATGTAGAATCAAGACTGGCCAGTTATTAGTTTTAATATTGCTCGGTTTAATTGTACAATAGTAGAATCAAGGCTGATCAGTCATTGGTTTCAGATTTGTATACTGGTCAGATAGTTCCTACGACATGTATGATCAAGACTGGCTGGTTATTGGTTTCAACATTTCATACCGGCCGACTTGATTCTGTCTATTGTAGAATCAAGGCTAACCAGTTATTGGTATCAGAATTACATGGACTGCATAGGGTAGATATAAGCTAGTTATATACTCTTATAAGGGCCAGCCATGTACATACATGCTGTAGGAACCATCTGGCCAGTCCATATCTTAAATACAATTATCTCGGCCAGCTGTGGACTACATAGAGTGGAGCTAGTGCTAGCTAAGCTACCTTGTCATTCATTAGCATTGAGAATTATCCTGTCATATTTTTCCTAGCAAAGACAGTATACCAGATCAAAGTATAAATTGACATCCATTGAAATTTTTCTCTGCCTCCTCAACAAATCTTCCCCACATCAAGACCTGCTGATAAGCATAGGCTTGATGACCAGGTCTGGTGGCTTGGCCACCCCTTCTCTCCCATTCATTCTGGTGGTACTTGAACCAGTTTATGGTCCAACCCATTTCATGTCTTACCAGCCTTAATTCCTCTTGCCATCTATTCCATCTAGCCTTAGCCTTCAACCAGTTCACCCTGTAGACTAGATCGGTTGGAGCTTTAGTGACATATCATAGAGATAAAGATTTTTTCTTACATTCATCTATCCAGGCATCGTCTTGACCTTGGCTTGCATTATTTCCCCTCCAAAACCAAGCCAGCCTGTCTGACCCTTGTCCAAATCTATTTTCTTCTGTCACCTCTTTGTCTATACTGAGCTCTGTAGGCGATATTGGCTGATAAAGACTCCCCAAGGTGGCTTTGTCCATGCCTAGACCTTCCATTGCTGACCTTGCCCTCTGATAGCTTCTTACACACTTGTCAATTTTGAGCTGACAGCGTTGAGCTTCTTGCTTTGACCTAGTCCCAGCCCATGTAGAATTAGCACTTCGAAAATACTGACGATAGATGATGGCCTTATGACCAAGGGCCATTCGAAGCTTTTCGAGGCAGTCATTGGCTTGGCCCTTTCGAAGTTCTAATTCTTCAGCTTGGAGGGGACCCAGTCCGAGAGCCAATGCATCCTGGTAGGGCACTGATGATGGCATCCAGATACCCATCTCTTCAGCCAAGATTTCTTCGTCAATATACTCTGAGATCTCTTCATCTGAGACCTCTCCCCAACCATTTTCATCATGACCTGCATAGCAGAATCTAGGATCGTCGGAATGCACTGTTGCAGTTCCAAGATCCATACCAGCAGTCATGGCATCAGCTGTTTCATGAAATTTAGCTATCCTAGCTGTCAATCTCTGTCGCTTCTCTTCTATAGAAACTTTCTGTCCTGGGGTTGCATCAGTAGGAAGTTGTCGAATATCTGCCCTTAGTCCATCCCTAAAATAGTACTATGTCAAACGGTTTCTCTATTTTTATTGGTTACATACTGTAAATCCTCCAGATTGATGCCAGTAATGAGCCAAGAGACTGTCCCAGGTTTGCTAGTGTCATTCTCAGACTCAGTTAATTTGAGTCTAATCTCTGCCATAGTTGGAGCTAGATACAAATACTGATCAGATGTCTATACAAGAATAGCAGCCTCACAACTAGACAGAGTTCACTTACCTTTGTTCATCTGCAACTGATAGATGTCAAGATACTCTCCACGTTGTTCCATGGCCTTTTTCTCATCGATCTTCCATATCGAAATCTTCTCAGGGTCCAGAGACAGAGTGAGCTCGTCAAAGGGAGACTTTGTGTCATCAACACCTTTGAGAGCCCGTTTGTACTTTTTCAAGAGAGTCTTCACTGGAAGCTCAATTGTCAAGCTTGTTCAAATGCAAAATTTGGAGGGCTTACTTATTCCCACTATTTTTTTCCAGTTTGAGTCTCGCATATGATCATCAAGAACTTCTTGACGGTGAGCCTGACTCATTGACCGAGCAGTTGGGGAGATCTTATTGAATGGTGCCCACAGAGTCTCCAAAATCTCCCCATCAACATGTCCAGCCCCTTGAATAAAGTTGAGGCTGTACCTTGCAAAGCAAGCTAATTTGTGAGCGCTAAGATGGAATTTTCCAACTGCTGGAACGATGTGCATATTTTCAGGTACAGACAAGCCCTTGCTCTGGGCTACTCTCTGTAGAAAATTAATGCTCCACTGACACCCCACATCATAAATGATGAGGGAAGAGTCTATACCAGCTGAATGATAATTCAATGCATTGCATATTGAGTAGTCGATATTCATGTGTCTAAAAATTACCTGAGCTTGCATAACATGTTGATTTGGAGGACATACACAGACCTTTCGCCCTTCTGAAAATCAACTATACTATGAGGAACAAAGCATCCATGTCGAGCACAAGCAGTTGCTCCTACACCTGTAGCTCGAAGATTGCTCCTGCTGATATTGGCTGCATTTACTGCACGATGATTGCTGCAAGAAGACCGCTACAAAGATAGTGAAGCATGAACGAAAAGTGGTTGTCATGAGCCAACTCACCTCTTTACTTTCTACAGCCGATGACAGATGAGTCTGGTATTCTTGATCTTTCACCATATACCCAAGCCCGTCTGACAAACTAATGTCCAACTGTGGTTTTCTCATTACCATATGTTGAGCAGTGAAGTTCCCGTCTACCACATATCTTTGTGAAACAAGCCAACTGTACAAACAGGTAAGCATAAGGTTAAAAATGTGCAAAAAAGAAAAGTAGAAGTCTCTCTCCGGACCAACTCTCTGGCTGGCATGTCTTTGAGTGACATCTATGCACCTCAGTTTAACCGGCCAGCATGGTTATGCATGCTATCTGTGTCAAGCTAGCAAGCCAATTTAATGTGCCGGCCGGCCTGGTTTTACATCCAGTCTATGCCATGCTGGCCAGCTTGATTAGAACATAAGTCAGTCCGGCCGGAGCTCTCGTACACTATGCAGTGTAGGGCTAGCCAGTGAGTATGATATTCTCAAGTGTGGTAGAGAAATTGAGTCGCCTCTCCTTAGAATGAGATGGATAAATGACTTGCCTTTCATATCTGGCTTGCCAGTCAGGAGGTAGGTTAATCCCAGGCTGTGGACAAGCAGGGCAAAACCAAGCCAGATCACCCTTGTCCGGTTTCTGCTCATCATTATGGGCAAAGCCAAACCATTTTCGACTCATCAAGTCTCTCCACAGTCGAGACACTCTCATAAGTTCTCGATATCGATTCTAGAAAAACAAATTGGTACTGTTAGTTTAACTTTCACCAAGAAGACTTATAAGACTTACAGGAACAGTATCTGGGAAACAGTTATTGGTCATTCGACGGATTTTTTCAAAGAAGCTGGATGCTGAAGTCTTGCACTCCAGTGCATCAATTAGAAAATGATTGAGGACATCAAAAGTAAAGGCAGTCTGTGGTCGAGTGGTACTGGCTGGAAATAATTTAGCTTTCAGCAATTGCAAATGCTGCTGACAATCGACCCCAGGACAGCTGCACCAGACAACGTTGTGCAAAAACACTCCAGTGGAATGTACAATGGTCAACTTGGTTGGTATAGTTGAACCATGAACTGTCTCCATTGGTGAAAAATCGGCCTCTGCGTCCATCGGAATATTCTCCCATGCATGCATGTCGTCAGAAAATGGACATGGTTGTCCCCCATGGCCCATATACCAGATAAAACCCAATTCTTCAAGTGATGTGTCGTTGAAGCATTTCCCAGTCCACTCTTGAACCTTGTGGAAGGGCAAAAACTGGTGAGCATTGACAATGCAAGAACGACAGAATGTCTGATCTCCACTGCAAGTCAAACAGCGGAATTTCCCTTCACCAATCTGACAAGACTGGCACTGGGATACATCGGAGGGTTTCTCCAAGTCAAGGAGAATATCCAAGTACAAGTCTCGGAAAGGCAGATATTCTTGGATGAAGTCATTTTGTGTCTGGTCGTAATAATCTCTATTTAGTACATCATTAAAAGACACTGAATCACTATGCTTGCCTTGGTTTTTCTTTGTGAGTTCTCTACATAGGAAACAAAGTCACCAAGGGTTTGTCTATCAAAATCTTCATGACTGTTTTGCAACCCTTGAGTGTCTTCTCTAATACGTTTACGAGGGCTGGAGGATGGAGATGGTGTTGGGGCAGTGTCATAAAGGCTATCAGCGCATGATTCCACCCAGGTTGGCTTCCTTCTCTTTCCAATGACTTGTTTATGAGACACATAGGCAACATCAAGGTCCTTGCCTTTAGACAAACGACCTCTTCCTTGGAAGGAAAATGTAGCTGCCTTGAGTCGAGTTTTTTTCTTGGGAGACATAGGGTTACGTGTGGGGGGAAAAATTGATATTATCAACATTCTATTTTTGATAGTTGAAACCATTCATAGGAATCACTAGATCACATCAACTAATCTAGTAGGTATACTGTCAAACACTTGATTTGTCCCATTCCACCCCTCCTCCTCCAAGAACCACTCCTTTCTTATCATCTACTTGTCACAACAAATAACTATCCTGCTGCCCCACCATCTGCAAAAAATAGGCCTGTGTTGGAAAGGGGGGTCTGGATACCCCGCATCTAGAGTGGATTTTATCCCTCATAAAATGGGCAATAACGAGCCTTTCTCCCGGACCCCATGGACCAATAGAATGTTGTAAAACCTTCCCGGAAATGAAGACCATTGTCCCAGGGTAATAATCCAGTTCGGCCCCAACATCTGCTAATGTCAACTTAGCCTCATGGCCACTGCCTAAACTAATCAGAAGATCAAAAAGAGGGCGCCACCAGAATCTCTGTGTGATAAAGTTGTACGATTTGCAATTATTTCCAATCCTGAGAAGATCGAGGGCCAATCACAGATGGGTGGTGATGTTCTATCAGAACCTTGAAGTTCCTCAATAATACGAGTGATTGCCAAGGTGCCTGCTTCGAATAGATCTGGAGCCGATACAGCGGTAATGGCATTCCAGAAAGATTCAGTAGCTGATAAAGCAGCTAGCCACTCTTGGACTTCCACAGACTTATAGGAAGCCGAGGTAACCATTGGGTCTTCCAGTCTCTGCAAATGAAATCAAACAAAGTCAAAAGTAGCTAAACACTAAATTTGGCCTATACCTCGTGTCTTTGCATAAAATATGCTGGTGATACTGTGACTCTGCCTGCTCCAAATTCTCCACCCCCCTCTGGGACAACAAAGCCTTGAGATCGCCAAGACTGTTGGGTGGAGGACGTAATTGTTTCAAGAAGTAAAGTCCGTAAACCCTTAGTGGCTGAGTTCACATATTCCTAATTTAATTTATCAATTGATGAGGGGAATTCCCAAGGAAGAATGAACATACAACCCGAGAAGAAGACAGAATATTTGGCAAGTAAATTGTTAAAATTTTACCTTGCCTGTCCACAATAGTAGCTGGTGCTGAAATTTTACCGATCATAGCTGCAGAAAAGTACTTTGGTAGCTGATTGGTATTAGCGAGGGGACCATCAGATTTAGGTGTAGAGACTTTGGCCATTTCGGCAAATCTGTCAACATCCCAATCCACATAATCTGCAAATGATGTGAATTTAAAACCAGGTGATATCTTGCAGAGTGAAACAACTCACAAGGATTTACCATTGCATGGGCAACTGTCAGTGCAGCTCGATTGATCTCATATTCTGAGATTGACGCAGAAGCATGGAAGTTGACATCACGTGTTGCTAAGCAACTGTCTAGCTCATGTCCAATTCTTAATCTTAAGTGAGACCATTTAATAGAGCGGATCAAATAAGGCCCTAAATATAACCTCTCACCTTGCTTTGTGTAGAAGGTGAGTTTGCAATATCCCCCCTCTGAAGATCCCTGTTGCTGATGATTTTCCCATAATTTCCTTGATCCTTGTGGTCAGAGCTGCTCTCAGCTTGATTGATTGACTCATTTGTTGGTCCATGGTGAGCAAGGAAAATTTTCAACCAGCTCGTTCGGATCAAGACTCAATTTAACTTATATGAAATGATTCCGAAAAAATTGTCCCGCGATCAAATTTGGATATATGAATGGAATCTACTGATGGAAGACTGATTAAATGAAGTCTTGCCCAGATTGTGACATAATTAGTACTGTAATAACTCGCTCAGATGCTGGAAGAGTGAAGACTAATATTGGCAGACTACCACAGAAGAATGAATGATATTCTGAATCTGGGACTACACTGTGGGATCCCTGTCTCAAATAACAGGAGACACTTCCAGCTGGAGTTCAACGCCTTGAGAGACAGCAAGGACTCACTTATTAAGAATGCAATCACAAAAACAGTAGTGTATAATAGTAAATTGGCATCCGGAGGACACCAGGACAAGTAGCAATGACGCCATATGATACAAACTGCCCTGCACCATCAGAAGGCTGACTCTTCCCTTCTGACCATGGAGGGGAGATACCTCTGAGGTTACCTCTGAGGCATATACTGGCTAGCCCGCCCTCAAAACTGTTCGTGTTAAGAGTTCTGCCTCAGAGGTAATACTTCGTTAGCTACACCTATACTGTAGGGTATTGAAAATGTTTTTTTGTTAACCGAAGAAAACATTCTCAATACCCTGCAGTATAGGTGTAGCCAACTTACCTCTGAGGCAGAACTCTTAACACGAACAGTTTTGAGGGCGGGCTAGCCTCTAAGGCCTGTAGGGTATTGAGAATGTCCGTCAGTCCAAAATATGCTAGCAGCCCAGGCAGATGGTGACAATGATGCCATATGATGACTCCCCTCTGTGGTCAGAAGGCAATTTCAAAGAAGAATCAACCTTCTGACCGGGAAGGGAAGTTTGTATCATATGGCGTCATGGCTACTTGTCCTAGTGTTCTGCCACCATCTGCCTATGCCAATAGTATATTTTGACTGGCAGACAATAATCAATGATAGCGTCCTTCAGCATGTCAATGGTGAGCCGCATCAAGGCAGAATTGAGATCTACATAACACATTATCTATCTAAGACATGTAGTAGATAATAGTTGCTTTGGTCTGTGCAGCGTTTGATTATTATACACTACTGTGCTTTTGCGCTTGCTTTCTTAATAAGGCTCTTTGCTAATATACACACGGTCACGTGACCTTTTCAGCCGGCAGCAAATAAAGTGCATCCATCAACATACATTTTCAAATACAAAGTACGAGTGACAATAAATTTTACTACAAGTAAGCAAACAAATAAAGTAACAAATACAAAAGGGGAGGCGAGACTTCAATAAGGGGCCCTCCTCACCAAAGCCTCAACACTCCAGGTGAAAATGTATGTAGCAAATATATATAATACAATACAAATTTGTCCTGTAGAAACGTTAGACCAAAATTTAAGACAAGATTAACACTTAACTAGAGAGCACTTGCCACACAAAAGTACCGGCAGGTTCAGCAGTCTAGAGAACAAAACAGATCAGTTAAGGTCATCAGGAATTGAGCACTTACCACCATTAAAAAGTTGGAGCAGGAGCCACTGACAAGTGGCATGCACTGTGCTGAGCCCCAGTCCCAATAAGCAGGAGCCACTAACAAGTGGCATGCACTGCGCTACCGCCAATTCCAAGAAGCAGGAGCCACTGACAAGTGGCATGCACTGTGAAACCGCCAATTCCTATAAGCAGGAGCCACTGACAAGTGGCATGCACTGCGCAACCCCCAGTTCCTATAAGCAGGAGCCACTGACAAGTGGCATGCACTGCGCAACCCCCAGTTCCAATAAGCAGAATACTAAATAGAACAGACATTAGCAAACAGACGCGAGAGAAGAAGGACTTACATTTAAGGAACTGGAAGGCGCTCAAAGGGAGGAGTGGCTCTAACTGCGCCATCCAAAGTCCCGAAATTCGTAAGTATAATACTAAATAGAACAAACGTGAGCAAATGGACATGAGAGAGGAAGGACTTACGTTGGGAACTGGAGGGCGCTCAAAGGGAGGAGTGGCTCTAACTGCGCCATCCAAAGTCCTGAAATTTGTAAGTATAATCCTAAATAGAACAAACATTAGCAAGCGGACGCGGGAAAAGAAGGACTTACGTTAGGGAACTGGAGGGCGCTCAAAGGGAGGAGTGGCTGTCACTGCGCCATCCAAAGTCTCCAAAATCCTAAGTACAACAGACATTAGCAAGCGGGTGTGAGCAATTAAGTACTTACCTTGAGAAACCTCAAGGGAAAGAGAGTATATGTAAATGAAAACAGTTAGTAAGTAGGCGCACCACCAAAGTTGAACTTACTATGTTTGAAGGGCGACTGTAGGGTAGTACCTTTGAATTCTTGCAGCTGCAGTCTGCAAGAACCCAAAGGAGTACACCGGAAGTCGCCCTGAAGTAACGGCACTGGCAGAAATAAAGGATGAAGGAGAATGATGAAGGTAAGACGAAAGAAGAGATTGAACCGTGAGAACTGATTGTTGTTGTTCATATTCACGTGTCAGTTTGTTATTGTTTGTAATAGTCATGTGATTATCAACAATGAACTCAACAGCGTCATATGGCTAATCCACAATTTAACGCGTCACGTCAAAAATCCACAAATTCAACACGTGCCAGCACGTGTTGAGTGGATTTTTGACACGCGACACGTTGAATTGTGGATTAGCCATATGACGCTGTTGAGTTCATTGTTGATAATCACATGACTATTTGGATCTGTTTGTCACAATCAACCAACATTCAAACTTGTTCATTTCTTTCTAAGTACATTCAGCCGGCACTCTCCTCTCTTTGCATCTGTTTGAACTACATAACTGTAAGTGCTATTTGCCATGTCATTTACTAATTTGAATATATCTATAATAGTCTCTCTTCACCATGGTGAAGTCTAAACAAACCTGCAAGAAGTCCACCGGTGGCACTGCGCCCAAAATTGCCTTGTTGTTGCCGGCATCTACTGGAGCGGTCACTGTGCCGGGTGAGCTGAATGTGAGAGAGCCGTCTGAACACAACGAGGTAAGTGATTAGTTACCTACTATTTGCACTAACACGCGTCTTTATTTGCAGTTTTGTCTCATCTGCAGAGACGGTTCTGTAGGGGAAGATTGCCTCTTCCTCTGCAGCACCTGTCTGCGGGTGATGTGTTCAAACTGCATGAACATCCCGCCTGCCAGTGCATGCACGGTGCAGGCCGATGACGTCACGTTCGTCTGCATATCTTGCCACGTTGGCATGGAACGACACGGGCACGCATCTCAGTTGCCCTATTTTGTAAGTTTTTTCGTTTATTTCATGCTAACTAACATTCACTTCATTTTATAGGGTTTTTACAGGAAGGGGCAACCACTCCTTCCTTCATTCCTCCAAATTCGCGCTACGTTGGAGGTTTCACTCCATTCCCAACTGTCTTCGGCACCCACGCTCATGCTCCATCTCATCCTCGTTGACCACGACGTCACCGGCGGCTGTTTTGAACTGGCCTCCAAATTCCTTCGGCCGTACTTCCCCAGCAGAGGGTTTGAATTTTGGTCCATCGCGTTCGACATCAGCAATGCCTCAAAGATCGACAAGTACCGGTTGCAGGCGACTGCCATCGTCCAGTTGCTGATGAGCTCCAACTGGGCTCGTGTCATTGTCGCCATCACTAACCACACCGACAACGAGAATGGGGATCCATTTATTGGGTACAAGGGCAACAAGAAGTTATACATTTCGGCACGTGTTCACTCTGTAAGTGGCATTTTTTTTGACTAACATTGTATTTGCTCATTTGACACCAAAGGTTCTCGATGTTCTGCTTTCACCTTGGCATCCCCTGATTCATGGTGCCGCGGAATCATACTTATGGCTGTTTTCATGTGGCACGCTCATCAACAACGTCACTTCCTTTTCAGGCTTGCAACAGGCGGTCATAGAGTAAGTCCATTTGATCTTATCTTTGCAAATACTAACTAACCCTAACAGTCATCGCATCACAGCCACTATTGGCTTTAATGCTGTTCGTTTCAGCCGAGTTTCGCCACCCACCTTTTGCTCGCATTCGCGGAGCTGGTCATCATCGAGTGTTTGCCCATTCACATCGTCTTCCCTGACATGTTGGGCCAGTCCTACAAACTTGGGCGCCACACTGACGTGTTCTTGCTGATGCCTGACAACTCAGGTTCATTGGCCGTTACCAAGTTTGCCTGGACGCATTCTGAACTTCGCCCTTGGGTCAGTACCTGCCGGTCCAGTGCCCACAGTGTGGGTGGAGTAACACCTGGTGTTCTGTCAACATGCACAAAGATTACATCTTTGAATGCAAGAATGGCCAATGTAGGAAAAAGTATGTATTCTCACAACCACCTCATTCCAGGATCCTTTTGCCAGGCAAAAGACCTGGCTCCTGCTGGATTTCGGTTGTCTTGAGGCCCATGCCTAGTGTCCCTGATGAGGATGAGGATTAGGATACAATTATTTTGTCTTGGCTTTTTCATACATCCCTTCATGTTTCATTTTTCTTCATCTTACTTGATTAGATTACCCTCACCACTCAATGGAAGTATAACGTGTTTTGGATCTTTTTACCTGATGTGAATTTGTCTATTATCTACACTGTCTAACTCCACTCAATGGAAGTATAATGTGCCTTTAATCTTGTTACTTGATGTGAATTTGACCGTCTCAATATATCCAATTTGATAATTGATTCAAGATAAACATTGCAGGTAGGCTGGTACAGGCGGTAGGAGGGTGGCTAGCCGAAATAATTTGAACACCCATGTTTATCAACAATAACGTGTGACTTTTATGAAAAGTCACACGTTATTGTTGATAACATGGGTGTTCAAATTAATTTCGGCTAGCCACCCTCCTACCGCCTGTACCAGCCTACCTGCAATTTTTATCTTGAATCAATTATGATGTCTACCGACTGGTCTATTGCCTTTAAGCCAATTCTCGACCTTCACTCTAAGGCCATTTTTGCTGCAGGTTCCTCATCTGTTGGAAAGCCTGTGGTGAGGAAGATTCGGAGGGCCTTACTAGCTGCTCAAGACGAGCAAGAGGAACCCATTGCCTTGCCTACTTCCTTGAAAAAGGTCACAAAATTTTTATACTGTACATGTATTTAGTTATCTGATGATATACATAAATATTACCTACAGGCAATAAAAGAATACTATGCCAAAAGTCTCAAAGACAAGGAAGAGGCAGACAAACGTGAGGCAGCGAGTCGCCAAAGAGAACCATCTTTCTATAAGAAACCCCTGTCTGAGTGGGACGTAGCACAGAAATTATTTAAGCAGGAGATCGACTCATATGACAAGGCCCAACAACAGAGTAAAGGCTTGGAGTATTCAATCAAGTACCGCACTGGGAATGCCAGGGAGTGGTTCAACAACATGACACCTTCACAACAGCAGGAGGTCAAGTTTGCCATGAAGAAATGGAATGAGGAGGGGGCACCAGAAGAAACTCAGGCAATGTAAGTTTTACTTCAAATCTACAGTTATTCCAGTCTAACACTTTGGCTTGAGATATCGTAAGAATAACCTCAAGAAAATTCTGGAAGATTTTGCAGAGCAAATTCAGCGCACCATTGTCATATCCCGTGTTCTGGGTCCGGACCTATCACACTCATCATTTCCGGATTTCCGGATCCGGCCGACTTCTATGTATTGTCCGGATCCGACCCGCGTCTAACTTCCGTGCCTTATCCCTTTGGTATTTCCCTTATCAGTTAGTACACTTTATTTTCCGTCCCTTATTCATTTCCGTCTTCATTTTACTAAGTTCCGATAAACTAGTGATAGTCGTCCCATATTTTTCTCCATAGCTACATAGCCTCGCACTGCACTCACTGTTCTCCGTTATGTCCTCAGTAGTATATAAACCCTGTACAGTCTCTGTAGTTTCCTCAGTTCAAATATCATCTTAGACTCTGCTCATTACCTCTCTCCGTCCGACTTGAGTTATCCTCTCGTCGACCTCCGCTCGTCTTAGGATTGATTCCTATAGACTTGTCACCTCCGCCTCTACCTTGGTAGTCCTCCGCTGTTTCTTTCTAGTTCGGACTTCGTCCGGATTAGTCTTATCTCTTGTTCCCAAACGTCCGCCGGA